TATGCCAATGTAAGGAGATGCACTTGAGCCCGAGCTCTAGAATTGCATTGGGTAGATATAAGGTTTAGGTTCAGCCCATGTAAGGAGATGCACTTGAGCCCGAGCTCTAGAATTGCATGGGTGGACATGAGGTCGGAGATTGATGATGTTATATAAGGTTTGCAACCTAGGGTCAAATCTATGCCAATGTAAGGAGATGCACTTGAGCCCGAGCTCTAGAATTGCATTGGGTAGATATAAAGTGGATGCATTAGGGTTGGACCCTATGTATTGTTGTGACTAGTGGTCACGGGGTTTGGGTTATGTTTTGTGATAAACATGGGCCTACGGGCTGACTACTTGACTTTATATAAAGTAAGTATATATTTTGAAAAGGGGTAACTTGGGGTTACGGCCTAGACTATATTATCACCCTATTTGAGGGTCTTGTGTGTGAAATACTTGTTGTATATCTATTAGATGCCTGCCACACCAGTACTTTATAGCCATATAGAGTACTGACCCCTTCGGGGGCGTCCCACCAGCATTTCAGGTTGAGGCTTGAGCTTGCTACCTGTGCCCGTTGCTCGGGGTGATCATTTGGAGAGAAGACGTGGATTGTGCTTTCTCCATTCTGTTTTGAATAACATTAAACATGCTCATGGATATTTTACTATAGAGCCTGCGTGCTCATGAATAGCCCTGTGTGGCCCTTTTGTTTTAAACAATGTTTTCCGCTGCATTATGAATTACTTATTATGTTTGTTTATGGATGTTATATGTGTGAATGATATTCAAGACGCTTTGTATAATGTGAATGTGTTGGACTGCGGTTGACTATTCGTATTGTACGGCGGGTTGTTGACGTGTCCGGGGAGGTCCGGGGCGTGACATGTGGGCTCGAGTCATGATGGCTTTGAGAGTATTCATGGAAGACATGGTTTTGGCACTATAAAGAAGCGGGAGAGAACATCTTGGATTTTGCCTCGACGTATGAGTTGGCTATAATGAACATTTGGTTTAGGAAAAGAGACTCTCACCTTCTAACCTATACAAGTGGAGCTAATAGTACTCAAATTGACTACTTCTTGGTACAGACTACTTGGAGAACTAGTTACACTGATTGTAAGGTTATCCAAGTGAGAGTGTTGTCACTCAGCATAGGATGCTTGTGTTTGACTTTCGAGTTAAGAACCATAGAAGACAAGTTAAGCAACAAATGTAGCAATAAATAAAGTGGTGGAGACTTGATGGGGATCTTCAACAAAGCTTTACACACAAAATGTTTGGTGAAGATGTATGGCTTATTGATAATGAAACACATGTGGAGGATGTGTGGCTATCAATGGAACTGACCATTAACAAAGTGGCAAAGGAGGTACTTGGAGGATCTAAAGGATGTCTGTCACCTAAAAAGGACACGTCTTGGTGGAATGATGAGGTGAGACAAGCCATAAGGAACAAAAGAGATTGCTACAAAAAGCTGGGGACAAGTTGGGGTGATGAGAACATAAAAGCATACAAGGAGGCTAAAAGACAAGCAAAGAAAGCCGTAAAGGAAGCACGAGGGAAAGTGAACTAAGAGTTGTATGAAAAATTGGACTCTAAGGAAGGAGAACAAGATATCTATAGACTTGCTCGTCTTCGTGATCGCAGGACTTGAGATATCGGAAAAGTTAAGTGTGTGAATGACGTCAATCAAAGGATATTAATGGAGGTCGGAGAGATAAAAGAGAGGTGGAGGTCATACTTTGATACATTCTTCACGGGAACAAAATGCAAGATATCACTGATTTGACCATACCATATTGTATGGTAAATCGTGATTTTGTGAGAAGGATCCAAACAATGGAGGTTAAAGAGGCTCTGAGGAAGATGGGGCGGAAGAAAGCAGTGGGTCCAAATGGCATACCGGTCGAGGCTTGGAGAAGTTTGGGGGGAGAGGCATCGAGTGGTTAGCAAATGTCTTCAACTATCGAGGGATTAAGCTTACGAGTCATACCATGAAACTTTGGGAGCGAGTGATTGAGCAAAGACTTTGAAGAACGGTGAAGATTTCAGAGAATCAATTCGGTTCTATGCTTGGTCGCTCAACAATTGAGGCCATTCACCTTCTTCGGCAACTTATGGAGAAGTATAGAGACACTCACAAGGATTTGCATTTGGTGTCCATTGAATTATAAAAGGCATATGATAGGGTACCATGAGAAATTCTTTGGTGGGCCTTAACTAGAAAAGGCATATCATGCAAGTATATCAGTATCATCATGGATATGTATGAGGATTGTACTACAAGTGTTCGTACTAGTATAGGGAGGACTGCGAAGTTCCCTATTACTATCGGAGTGCACCTAGGATCGGTTGTGAGCCCTTTCATATTTGCCATGGTCATGGATGAACTTACAAAGTCAATTCAAGACGATATACCGTGATTCATGATGTTTGCCGACGATATTGTATTGATTGATGAGACGCAATTAAGGGTTAAAGCAAAGTTGGAAGTATGCCGACAAAAATTGGAGAACAAGGGTTTCAGACTAAATCGGAGCAAGAAAGAGTACATGGAGTGCAGGTTTGGTGGATGTAGAAGCAGTGGTAATAGCGGAATTACTCTAGATGGTAAGGAAATACCGGTCTGTGATATGTTCCGTTACTTGGGCTTCATAATTCAGAAGGGCAGTGAGTTAGATGGAGATGTATCCCATAAAATCAGAACAAGGTGGATGAAGTGGAAGAGTGTGTCAGGATTTCTATGCGATCGAGGTAAGCCGACTAAACTAAAGGGTAAATTTTATAGGACAACAATTATTTCTGTATTACTGTATGATACAGAGTGTTGGGTGGTGAAACAATGTCAAATTCAAAATATGAGTGTGGCAGAGATGCCCATGCTGCGTTGGATGTGTGGGCATACTAGAAAGGACCGCATGAAGAATGAGACAATCAGACAAATGGTGGGAGTAGCACCTATTGAAGATAAGATGCGGGAGTCGCGCCTACGGTGGTTTGATCATGTGCATAGAAGACCGAGTGATGCACCTGTCAGACGAGTTGAGATGTGTGGAGAAGAGGCAGAGAAGAGAGGGAGAGTAAGGCCCAAACAGACGTGGGTTAGGGGAGTCAGGAATGATATGCTTCTTCTTGGATTGGATGAGGGTATGGCGTTGGAGAGAGCAAAGTGGTGGGCGGGTATTCGTGTGGAGGAGTGATCTTGTACCATCTTTCCCCATTTTTTTCTTATTTTTTATCCTTTTATCCTTATATATAAATATTATTTTTATCCTTTTTTTATTTTATCTTTTATATGTATATTCATCTCTTTTATATTATCTTTTTTATAATAGCTTATCTTTATTTTCTTTCTTTTTCTTTAGGTGATATCATGTATCGATTCATGTTAGCTGACCCCAATATCTTTTGGGACTAAGGCTTGGATGTCGCTGTTGTTGTGGTTGGTTATAGATCGAGTTATAGATGATGAGGTAGACACACAGATTCATGATGATTACAAAGCTGAATTAGCAGGTGAAGCTGAATTTGAAGGTGTAGAAGATGAAATAGGAGATGAAGCTGAGGCCACTGAGCTCTTATTCGTTGGGAAGAATGAAGTTTTGAGTGACGGTGAAGTGGAAGTTAGTGATGATGAATATAGAACTGCAAACATAAATAAGTCTAGAATATTAAATATAAATAATTAAATATATTATATATAAATATATAATACATGGGGTTTTGCCCTTAATAATACTAATAAGTGGCTAATTGACAAAAAAGTGACCTTTTATTTAATTTTCTAAAAAAGTGACTGAAAATTAACAGGACCGCTACAGTAACGGCGCTACAGTAACAGTGCTACAGTGCCGGTGCTACAGTGACACTACTGTTGTGACAGTGCTACAGTGACAGTACTACAATGACGGTGCTACAGTGACACTACTAAAACAATTTTACAGTGACAATATCACAGTGACTTCATTCCACCGTATTTACCCCGTCAGCCGACCATAATGACACCGCCACCGGTGACACGACCACAGTGACACGCCGACTCCGATCATAGTGACAAGCCATCTCCGATCACATTGACACGTTGTTTCCTCATTCTCATCCTACCCCGCCATAGCCCCGCCGTAGAGCATCACCTTGGAAAACTGTTGCTGACCATCATTGTGTACCACCGCCGGCGACCACCACCCCACCCCCAGCTTGACCAACATGCACCACCGCCAACACCGCCGCTGACCAACAATTTTGACCACCGTCCCAGCCAACCTTGACCCCCCAGCCCCACAGCCCCCTCATAGCCCGCCTTGTAGTCTCCATCAACAGCCCCCAATCCCCTCCCCTGCTTCCCCCCCCATGCCTCTCTCCGACCAGTTCCCACCACCATGGACTCCGGTGTGACCAATCCCCACCAGTCCCGCCCCAACCGCCAGACCCCACAACACCGTCCCCAGTGTGATACCTTGAAAATTTGAAATAAAAATAAATAAATAAATCAGATAAGTTATATCTGATAAATCAAATGAAAGTAAGATCAAAATATTTTTTTTATACTTGGTGTATAAAAATATACGCACACTACATGCAATGAAAATTAAACACTTATGTGGCATCGAAAAAAAAAATAATAAAATAAATAAAAATAAAAATAAATCAGATAAAATATATCTGACAAGGTAAATAAAAATAAATATCAAAGTATTATAAGTGACATTTTGTAACATGTAATAATATACATATACACATAAAATGTAACTTGTGGATGACAATCATACACATAGGTGTTCACAATAATACAAATAGAGGTAATAATATATGCAATGAACTTGCGGACTAGACTTAGAATGCATTAGAACAACCAACATTTACACATGCATGTTCATAATACTATGTATAATAATATTGAATAATAATGAAGAGATAATTCAAACCAATCACTCCATGTATGATTCAGCCTAGAATGATCGATCTACAGCTATAAATACAGCTTCCGTCCCATTCTAAATCACCACAAAGTGAAGAAAACGAGTAGAGAATATATATATATACTTACTCGCCGGAAAAATACACATATATAAATTTACGTAAGAAATTGCCTATAAACAAGAGAGGAGGGTCGTGAGAGGTCTAGGAATATTTCCCAATAAATTCCAGACCGATTCGTAGTCACCGGAGCATCCTAGAGGTCGCCGGAGTTGCAAGCCAAGGAAATGGGTCTTCAGCAAGTGCGGAAATTTGGCCGTAGATAGGGGTGGCGGAGCTTCTCCTCGACGTCAGGATCATTTTGCAACTTGAATCGTTTAAATCCGTTACCTGTAAGTAAAGTTATCGCTCGCCGAAGTTTTCGGGATTCCGGTCGCCGGAATCGCGACCTGGAGAAGCTGGGAAGGAGACAACCCAGTCTTCTTGGGCCGGGTCGCAAATTTGGGCCGGTTCGGCCCATTTTCAATAAAAATTAAAAATAAAATAGTAAATGAAATAAATAAAATCTGTAAAAATATAAATTAAATACCTGGTTTAAAAATACATATTCGGACCAAGAATAATTGAAAAATAATATTTGTAGCTATTTTTAATTGATTTAATTGTAATTGGGCCAATTTGTACATATTTAGTAAATAATTAACTAAATAACGAAATAAATTATGAAATAAATATTGGAGCAAGCGAGATTAAATATATGACTAACTAGGACATTTGGGACCATTTATAATTAATAAAAATTATGATTAGCATATTTAATTGTAATTAAACCGGTTAATAGATATATGAAATTAAGTGAATAAATAAGGGAAATAATTCTAAAATAAATATCTGGACAACCTAGGTCAAATATAGACCCAAAATGTAGTTATGGAATGTAATAAATTTATAAAGTCGATTTTTAAGCCATTTAATTTGATTAGGCCATATAAAACTAGTTAAGTAATTAAATAAGAAAATTTTGATATTAATGGTGAAATAAATAAATCACTAAGATTGAAAATAATGTTCTGGACTAAAAATGATGTTTGTAATAAAATAAGGAAAAGAAAATAAAGTTGGGTTATCTAGTATAAATGAATGACTATATTTGGACTCAATAAATAAATTATTGAATTAGTGGACTAATTAAATTAGTGTGATTAAATTAATAATTATTATCCTTGATTATTAGTGATTTGGACTCCATATATATTATTAAACTATTTGAACTCATAAAAAAAATTAGTTGATTAATATAAACCAATTAATTAAGTAATGTGTACTTAGTGATTTAGTTAATTGACTTCATTGGAGTAGTTTAACTAAATGAATTAGTTTAATGGATAAATTGGTTAAATTATGGATGTGGTAATATTTTTGGACTTTATATAGAAAATTAAAACGAGATTAGAAGCTTATTATTGGCCTTAATTGAATTATATTAATGTATTTAGCTATATTGCTATAATTAAACTTATTTATTGAATTTAGTTAGTTCAATTAAATTAGTAAATAAAATAAATAAAACTGGATGATTGAGTTAATTAATTTAATTGGGTTAGTTAGTATAAATAAACCATTGAACTAATTAAAGTGGTTATTGAGATTAAACTATCATTAATTACTATTATTTTGAAATATTGTTTACATGAAATTACTATTAGAAGATTTATATAAAAAAAAAATTATGTACATTATGTAAACTGAATTTTTGGACTAAAAATACTTATTTAATTCGAAATGATGATATCATTATATAGTTAAACTAATTGGACCAGTTAACTATTTAACCAAATAAAATTAAAGAAAAATCGAGTTGGATTATTATAATTAAAGAAAATAATAAGAATGGGCTGGAAATAAAAATTTAGTAAGATTTATTAATTTAATTTAATATTCATATTTAAAGAAGGAATTATGAAGTTAAAGTAATTAAAGGTTGGATATATAAGAAATAACGAAATAATAGAATAGTTATTGATTTAGAATTTTGATCAATATTAGAAGAAGAATTCAAGTGAAGATCAAGCTAGAGATTTTATTAAGGAGATTATCACAATTTAAGGTAAGTTCTATGTCAACCAAAATGTTTTGCCTCGTACTTATATGTATGCAATATTTGCACTATGTGAATTATTTATGAATTGGAAATTATATGTTTGACATGGATCGAATATTTTGACTATATGAATACTGGTGGATTATTACCTTTTATGGATGATTAAATGTATATTCTTTTTATTAAAGAATATTGGTGGATTTATATTTATTACAAAGGATATTTTGAGAAAATGTGACAATAATGATTTGGGGAAAACATAAAGTTTTCATAATATATATTCTTACGTCTCGAGAGAAACACGAGGCGTGGGTGGTTAGGGCTACTACTACTTTTGGTGAAATTTATTTGGGTCGGTAACCAGTCCGGCAATGACATACTCCGGTAGACATCCCGGGCTTTTATTTGAGGATCAAAGATCCTTTGGTGGTCGTAGTAGTAGTTACCTAATTTACCCTTGGACAATGTCCCTTGTGAGTAGGTGGTAGAAAACATCTCGCCTACTTGGGTTTCTTACTACTCGGAGGGCTTGGAATCCCTTTTAGAGGGTGTGCACACTTAAGGTAGAAATTCAGCTTCCAATTGGTGGTCGGTGGGAGCCGGAATTCCGGGATGAGTCGTAGATAACAACGACTCATTGGGCTCGAGGAATCTTGAGTTTCGCCCACTCTTAAAAGAATCTAAAGTATTACTTTTGGAGGAATTGAAGGATGATATTATCTATTGTGGAAATTATTTTATGACATTAAACCATTTTGGAAATATGAGAGACTACTTTTCAATATATATACATATACAAAAACCTATTTTCCAAATTATATTATTTTACGGGTTCGGGTGGAATCTTACTTAGCTCTAAAGCTAATTTTTGTCTCTTTTCTCTTTTTCTCTTTGCTCTATTGTACAGATGATTATGATTATGAAGATTGATGTACTTGCTGCCCGAGTGTTCCGCTAGTTGCACACGTTTGATTAATTATTGTTGTTTAAATTTGTAATCCATAAACTTTGTTTAAGTTTTTATCTGATGACTACTTGAATTAATGGTGGATAGCCTGTGCACTCAATCATGTATAGGTTGAGTGTGGCGGTGACACACCTGTTTTTCCATCAAAGACTTCCGCTGTACTCTAAATATGTTTTATAATAAAGATGTTTTCATTTCAAAATGTTATTTTATTTTGGTGGGAAAAATGGGGGTGTTACAAGTTGGTATCAGAGCCTTAGGTTTTCCAAAGGGATTAGAACACGAGGTAATAGGTTGTATGGAGAAATTCTGTCACCAAGACGATAAGAGTCTAAGGCTGTTGGTTCTTAATTGAGCCTTTGCGCTCGTCCAACTACCTGGGAATTTCTCCTTGTGCTGAAACTTCGTCGTTCGAAATCGTTGAAGGAAACCTTTGAAATTGTACCTTCAAAAGGGAGATTTTCAAATATTTTTAAAATTAGGAAAGATAATATAGCTAGGAAATGGCCTTTTAGGAACGTGGTGAGGACCTTGTGAGTATTTATTTTCCTTACATGTATCATGTATGTGATAATTATGCTAATTGTGGGCCCATATGAGAAATGGGAACCCCAAATGCTAAATGGAATGCCTCATAAGGCAAAATTCCTAAGTGGCTAAGGTATGTACAAACATTATGTGCGAAAGTGATCTTATGTGAAGTATGAATCCTCTGTATGATTGTTATGTACATTTTTATATATTCTTGTTACATAGCCTATGGAATCCTTAGTTGAACTAGGATCCTTAGGAGTAAAATATAGAAATTCTTACACGAATACTTTGTGTCATCAAGATATCATGGCACCAAGAAGAGACCCTGATAACACGCCCACCAATGCTGAGTTGGCACAAAGCGTTCAGCAACTGGCACAATTTATGCACACACTGGGTGCTACTGTGCTCCAGAACAACCAAAACCAGAACAACGGGAATGATGCCGCAAAACGAGTGGCATCTCGCAACCCTCCAAGCTTTCATGGGCAAGAAGATCCTCGTATCCTCGAGAATTGGCTCCGACTCTTTGACAAACTCTTCGACGCGGTGAGCTGTCCGGAAGAGCAAAGGGTTGACATTGCTGTTTACTATTTACAGCAAGAGGCAGATAACTGGTGGGTCTCATCAGGCCCAACTTTACGTCAACAACCTGACTTCAATTGGGAAGCTTTCAAGATTGCCATGAGGAAACGTTTTTATCCTGCACACGTTCAGGCCACCATGCGTGATGAATTCATACATTTGAAACAGATGGGCATGAGTGTCCAAGAATATCACAATAAATTCGTGGACCTCGCGCCATTTGCGAAAACAATAGTGCCTGATGAAAGCACCAAAGTTGAGAAATTTATCTACGGATTAAACTATGATACGCAGAAAATCGTCGCTGTTTTGGGTTGCCAAACTCTGACTGAAGCTTATGATAGAGCTGCAGTTCACTATCGAGTTCAGCAACTACAAAGAGAGAGGAACCAGAAGATGAAGAGGGACGAAGATGGAGGTCGAGGAGAAAAGAGGGTCAGAGTGCACCCACCTACACAGCAACAAGAAGGGAGGAGGAGGAGAGATGACCAAGGTGGAAGAAATTTCCACGGTCAAAACCAACAAAATGATCGAAGAGTTGCTCCCAGAGATAGACACTTCTACTGCAAGAGGTGCGGGAGAGATCATCCTGGTGTTAATTGCGATGGAAGCCTGACAAAATGTTTCAATTGTGGGAAGCTAGGGCACCGAACCTTCGAGTGTCTCTCAAAGACCAATGGGGCACCAGTGCACCAGGTGCAATACCGTGATGGAGGAAGGCCAGATATGAACCAAGCTGGGCCAAATGGAGGACAAAATAACAACAATGCCGCCGCCAACAACAACCGCAACCCTCGAGGAGGAGGGGAGAATAATCATGGCAATGGCAATGGCGGGAACAATGGCAACGGCGGAAACAACGGCAACCGTCCGAACCAAGGGCGAATCATGGTGATGAATCAGGCCCAAGCCAATGCTAATGATGTGGTTTCAGGTACATTCCTTGTAAATTCTGAGCCTGCTTATGTTCTATTTGATTCTGGTGCTTCTCACAGTTTCATATCTTCTAGTTTCGTTAAGAAATTGAAGATTGAACCAACGGCTAGAATAGACTTGAATGTAAGAACCGCCTCAGATAAATTTGTAACTTGTGGAAATGTATACTCCAACATTCCCATACTCATATCTGAATCCAACCTACCTGGAGATTTAATCCAATTTGACTTAAAAGATATTGACATAGTACTGGGCATGGATTGGTTGGGGAAATACAAAGCCAGGATCCTCTGTGATGAACAGAAGGTGATCTTGAAGGGTCCAAATGGGAAGCGAATATCTTACAAAGCAATCACATCCAAGCCTAGTATGAGGCTGATGACTATGCAACAATTAAGGCGACATATCCGAAAGGGGTATGAAACATACCTGTGCTTTATGAAAGAGGTGAATACAGGGGAGCCAAACATTGACCAAATTGCCGTAGTCAATGAATTTCCGGATGTATTTCCGGAAGAGATTCCAGGGATGCCACCCGAGAGAGAAGTTGAATTCTCAATTGAGTTGATGCCCGGAACCACGCCAATTTCAAAAGCACCTTACCGGATGGCACCGAAAGAAATGCAGGAGCTGAAGGAACAACTAGAGGAGTTGTTAGAGAAGGGGTACATAAGACCGAGTGTCTCACCTTGGGGCGCTCCGGTCTTATTTGTCAAAAAGAAAGATGGGAGTCTAAGGCTATGCATCGATTACCGAGAGTTGAATCAAGCAACTATCAAGAACAAGTATCCATTGCCCCGAATTGACGACTTGTTTGATCAATTGAAGGAGGCTAGCACATTCTCTAAGATAGACTTGCGCTCTGGATATCATCAAGTGAGAATATCCGAAAAAGATGTACCAAAAACAGCATTCCGCACGAGGTATGGACACTACGAGTTCACTGTGATGCCGTTTGGTTTAACAAATGCACCGGCGGTATTCATGGACCTAATGAACCGTGTATTCCGACCTTATCTTGATACATTTGTGGTGGTATTCATCGATGATATTCTTGTGTATTCAAAAACCCCGGAAGATCACGAGAAACACTTGAGACTCACGTTACAAACTTTGAGAGAGAACCAGTTGTATGCCAAACTCTCAAAGTGTGACTTCTGGCAGGATCGGATAGCGTTCTTGGGTCACATCATCACCCAGGAAGGCGTATCCGTAGATCCATCGAAGATTGAAGCGGTGGTTGAATGGCGTGCACCTACCTCGGTCACAGAGGTAAGAAGTTTCTTGGGTCTAGCGGGATACTATAGGAGATTTGTTAAAGATTTCTCCAAGATAGCAAGACCGCTAACCAACCTGACAAAGAAGACAACCAAGTTCCAATGGAATGAAGATTGTGAAGCAGCATTCCAAGAGTTGAAGAAAAGACTCACAACTGCGCCGGTCTTGACACTACCGTCAGGGACGGAGGGATTTGATATCTATAGTGATGCATCCAAGAAGGGGTTGGGGTGTGTGCTGATGCAAAATAGGAAAGTGGTGGCTTATGCATCAAGACAACTAAAGGTGCATGAAGTCAATTATCCTACCCATGACCTGGAGTTAGCTGCAGTAGTGTTTGCTTTGAAAATCTGGAGACATTACCTATACGGAGCACATTGTAAAATATACACTGACCACAAAAGCTTGAAGTACATATTCACTCAAAAAGAGCTTAACATGAGGCAAAGAAGATGGCTCGAGCTTATCAATGATTACGATCTAGAAATCCAATACCACGAGGGAAAAGCTAACGTGGTGGCGGATGCTTTGAGCCGGAAATCTGAGCACTCATGCCGAGCAACATGGATATTACCAGAAGAACTATTCCGAGACTTCCAAAGATTGAGCTTGGAAGTAAAGCAATATGGCGAAGTAGATGGTGAAATACAGTTATGTACTATGACTGTTATACCATCTATCTTTGACGAAATCAAGAACGGACAACCGGGAGATGTAAAGCTCGAAAGAATCAAGGAAGGAATGAAAGATGGCGTCAACGGACCATTTAAGGTACATGAAGATGGGAGCATCCGATACAAGGGAAGGTGGTGTGTTCCACTGAAGTGTGCAGATATTAAAAAACAACTCATGGAGGAGGGACACAACACGCCCTACTCGGTACATCCCGGGGGAGACAAACTATACAAAGACCTCAAAAAGAACTTTTGGTGGCCGGGAATGAAGAAAGAAGTAGCTGAATTTGTATCCCGATGTTTGAACTGCCAAAAAGTCAAAGCGGAGAGATGCAAACCCAAGGGACTCGTGCAACCCTTGGAAGTGCCAACATGGAAATGGGATTCAATCTCAATGGACTTTGTCGGGGGTTTACCTTTAACAAAGTCCGGGAAAGATAAAATTTGGGTGGTAGTGGATAGATTGACCAAAACTGCAAGGTTCATTCCTATGAATGAAACCTGGAGCATGGAGAAACTGGCGAAAGCCTATGTCAAATACGTGGTCAAACACCACGGAGTACCTCAAGACATCGTGTCAGACCGAGATTCACGATTCTTATCCCAATTTTGGAAAGAATTACAAACGGCTATGGGAACAAAATTGAAGTTAAGTACTGCTTTCCATCCAACCACGGACGGACAGACTGAAAGAACAATCCAAACATTAGAAGACATGTTGAGGGCATGTGTTCTTGATTTGCAAGGATCATGGGATGATCACCTAGACTTGATAGAGTTTTCGTACAATAACAGTTACCATGCTAGCATCAGAATGGCCCCATACGAAGCTCTATACGGTCAAAAGTGTAGGAGTCCCTTATGTTGGGGTGACATGGTCGATCAGGTGATTCTAGGACCACAATACTTGCAAGATACTATTGAGAAAATCAAGGTCATCCAAGAAAGGATGAAGGCTGCCCAAGACCGACAGAAATCATATGCCGATCTTGGGAGAAAACCAGCTGAATTCGAACTAGGGGAGAAAGTTCTACTCAAAGTCTCTCCTACAAGAGGCGTAATGAGGTTCGGGAAGAAAGGGAAACTAAGTCCGAGATTCATCGGACCCTATGACATCCTAGAGAAGGTGGGAAAAGTGGCATATCGATTAGCTCTACCCACGGAGTTGGATAAGGTAACAACCGATTTGAAATCAAATACTTCTCTACGATTAAAATACATTCTTAACATACCGATATATGCTAGGTACATAACGTCTTTCACGTATCACAATTAAAGAAGTATGTTCGAGATGAGTCACATATCATCAATCCGGAGGTAAGAAATCCTAGACTTAACATGAGCCAAACGTAAATCGAAAAGAATATAAGTTAACCGTTATATTATTAGGTGATTGAAATGGATGAGACATTATCCTACGAAGAAAAACCCATAGAGATTCTCGATACTAAGACCCGAGAGACAAGGAAGAAGACAGTTAAGATGGTAAAAGTACTTTGGTCAAACCATTTGACCGAGAATGCAACATGGGAGACAGAAGAGGATATGCGTAAATGGTATCCTGAACTTTTCAATTAAGGTAAATATTCGGTTACGAGGACGTAACCTTTCTTTTAGGGGGACAGGTTGTCATATCTTATAAACCTATAATAATTCATCTTCATACTTAATTCGCGTCTTAGTTTATGCTTCGAGGACGAAGCATTCTTTAAGGAGGGTAGAATGTGATACCTTGAAAATTTGAAATAAAAATAAATAAATAAATCAGATAAGTTATATCTGATAAATCAAATGAAAGTAAGATCAAAATATTTTTTTTATACTTGGTGTATAAAAATATACGCACACTACATGCAATGAAAATTAAACACTTATGTGGCATCGAAAAAAAAAATAATAAAATAAATAAAAATAAAAATAAATCAGATAAAATATATCTGACAAGGTAAATAAAAATAAATATCAAAGTATTATAAGTGACATTTTGTAACATGTAATAATATACATATACACATAAAATGTAACTTGTGGATGACAATCATACACATAGGTGTTCACAATAATACAAATAGAGGTAATAATATATGCAATGAACTTGCGGACTAGACTTAGAATGCATTAGAACAACCAACATTTACACATGCATGTTCATAATACTATGTATAATAATATTGAATAATAATGAAGAGATAATTCAAACCAATCACTCCATGTATGATTCAGCCTAGAATGATCGATCTACAGCTATAAATACAGCTTCCTTCCCATTCTAAATCACCACAAAGTGAAGAAAACGAGTAGAGAATATATATATATACTTACTCGCCGGAAAAATACACATATATAAATTTACGTAAGAAATTGCCTATAAACAAGAGAGGAGGGTCGTGAGAGGTCTAGGAATATTTCCCAATAAATTCCAGACCGATTCGTAGTCACCGGAGCATCCTAGAGGTCGCCGGAGTTGCAAGCCAAGGAAATGGGTCTTCAGCAAGTGCGGAAATTTGGCCGTAGATAGGGGTGGCGGAGCTTCTCCTCGACGTCAGGATCATTTTGCAACTTGAATCGTTTAAATCCGTTACCTGTAAGTAAAGTTATCGCTCGCCGAAGTTTTCGGGATTCCGGTCGCCGGAATCGCGACCTGGAGAAGCTGGGAAGGAGACAACCCAGTCTTCTTGGGCCGGGTCGCAAATTTGGGCCGGTTCGGCCCATTTTCAATAAAAATTAAAAATAAAATAGTAAATGAAATAAATAAAATCTGTAAAAATATAAATTAAATACCTGGTTTAAAAATACATATTCGGACCAAGAATAATTGAAAAATAATATTTGTAGCTATTTTTAATTGATTTAATTGTAATTGGGCCAATTTGTACATATTTAGTAAATAATTAACTAAATAACGAAATAAATTATGAAATAAATATTGGAGCAAGCGAGATTAAATATATGACTAACTAGGACATTTGGGACCATTTATAATTAATAAAAATTATGATTAGCATATTTAATTGTAATTAAACCGGTTAATAGATATATGAAATTAAGTGAATAAATAAGGGAAATAATTCTAAAATAAATATCTGGACAACCTAGGTCAAATATAGACCCAAAATGTAGTTATGGAATGTAATAAATTTATAAAGTCGATTTTTAAGCCATTTAATTTGATTAGGCCATATAAAACTAGTTAAGTAATTAAATAAGAAAATTTTGATATTAATGGTGAAATAAATAAATCACTAAGATTGAAAATAATGTTCTGGACTAAAAATGATGTTTGTAATAAAATAAGGAAAAGAAAATAAAGTTGGGTTATCTAGTATAAATGAATGACTATATTTGGACTCAATAAATAAATTATTGAATTAGTGGACTAATTAAATTAGTGTGATTAAATTAATAATTATTATCCTTGATTATTAGTGATTTGGACTCCATATATATTATTAAACTATTTGAACTCATAAAAAAAATTAGTTGATTAATATAAACCAATTAATTAAGTAATGTGTACTTAGTGATTTAGTTAATTGACTTCATTGGAGTAGTTTAACTAAATGAATTAGTTTAATGGATAAATTGGTTAAATTATGGATGTGGTAATATTTTTGGACTTTATATAGAAAATTAAAACGAGATTAGAAGCTTATTATTGGCCTTAATTGAATTATATTAATGTATTTAGCTATATTGCTATAATTAAACTTATTTATTGAATTTAGTTAGTTCAATTAAATTAGTAAATAAAATAAATAAAACTGGATGATTGAGTTAATTAATTTAATTGGGTTAGTTAGTATAAATAAACCATTGAACTAATTAAAGTGGTTATTGAGATTAAACTATCATTAATTACTATTATTTTGAAATATTGTTTACATGAAATTACTATTAGAAGATTTATAAAAAAAAAAAATTATGTACATTATGTAAACTGAATTTTTGGACTAAAAATACTTATTTAATTCGAAATGATGATATCATTATATAGTTAAACTAATTGGACCAGTTAACTATTTAACCAAATAAAATTAAAGAAAAATCGAGTTGGATTATTATAATTAAAGAAAATAATAAGAATGGGCTGGAAATAAAAATTTAGTAAGATTTATTAATTTAATTTAATATTCATATTTAAAGAAGGAATTATGAAGTTAAAGTAATTAAAGGTTGGATATATAAGAAATAACGAAATAATAGAATAG